AGTACCTAGTCATCGATCATATACAATATCATTAAATTCTAAAATTGTTCTGTAGAATTGTTCATTTGTTGTGTCAAAAAATAATAAATGTCTGTAACTGACACAAGTAACGAACATTTTCAACAAATAGTAATTCAAMAAATAGCTGTGTTAAGCGTTTAGAAAAATGTATCAACAAAAACATAAGAAATAAAAATCTTAGTGGGTACCTGTTCTCTTATGTTTTGATTATAGTAAAATATTTATCAACGATGTTCTGTCCAAATTCTRGACCCTCTATATAGTTAATACCAATCTGACTAGTGATTTTTCACATGCTATTTAGGTGAATGTTATACCTACCACTTGGTTGTTTTAATAAAACGATGGCATAAAAAAAATGTTGAGATATTAATGATTCAAAATACGTTACATACCTACCTATCATCTACCAACATTTAATTTGTCTCATGGTTTATTTCTAAAAGTTGTTAATTTTCACGTGTGCTTCAAAAGTTGAAAAGTAGATTTACAAAACTGTCATGAGGTTTGAGTAATTTTGAAAATATTTGAACAAAAAATATGTCTCTCCCGTCACGGTTGTCTAGAGAAATGTCATAATAACGCGCGCCTTGCTCGTTATGTAAATATTCCGAGTCCACTTTTTGCACCTCTGAATAATTACTACTATCCGTAGTTTTGCTATGTTGAATATTTCATGTGCATAAAAAATGTTGTACCTAGGTACTTAATATAGAAAATGTATGATGTATTATCTTTTATTGATATCAAACTACCTACTCTGACCAGACATAGTAGGTACTGTTAAATGGAATCACATGATTAGACGAATACATTGTTTATATACTAGGTAGGTACATAACATTGCGCACGAAAACCGATGACCTACACGATTAAATGATGCAATTTCACAATTATTCAAGTGGTCGAAGTTGTAGTTATTTTATTATACATATTGTCATAAACAGGATGCTTCCAAATTGAATGAAATAAATATAGATACCTACCTACCCTATAATTATTTTCATCAATAATTAATTGTGTTATAAAATTGAAACATTCAATTAGTCTATTCAACAATGTTATTTTTAATAAAATATGTATTTTGGTTATGATTTCAAACATGAATATTATTATGTTATTTTAAATTGTTTTTTTTTTTGTTTTAGAAAATGTATATTAATTGTAATTGTGTGCCTTGCAATGTAATTTTAAAGTACCTTATAGGTAACCTTATAACTTAATAACAATACAATGAAATACCTATATATTATAGATATAAACTGCACTAAGTTGGTATTGTATTATTATATTAATATTATGAAAACAAATATTTTTTATTATATTAATATACCTACTTATTATATGATACTATACTTAAATATTAAATTTGTTTAATTTATAATTCCTTAGGTATATCAAAGATATAAAATGAAAATTTTTACGTTTTTCAACATTCAAGATTCAAATTTTTTAAKATAGTATTTATTTTTTACTGAATAAAGTATTTATATATTATGATACAAAACGTGTATTAATGTGTATAATTTTTTCAACCCARTACGTTAAACAAAATTTGTTAATTACCATTTCAAATGACTAAAAACATGTTAATTGTAATACCCATTCGTTTATAGAAAATCAATTAACATGATCGTTACATGATTGATATTTTTTATGTACATTTATTTTACAAAATTATTCAAACATACAAAGTAGTATTTTTTGTAATATGGATGTAGAGTTAAATGTATGGAGGGATAAACTGTATTTTGTAAGTTTATATAGCTACTAAACAAATTATCTTTGAATTTTCTACTTCTAAAAATGTGTATTTGACTATAGTGATAATATTTGAATTAAAATTGTTTAGCTTTAAAAAACTTTTAGGAATGAATTTATCATCAGGAGAAAGTCTTCTCAAGTAAAAATAAAATATTTTTATAGTATATTAAAAAAAGTTGAAGATATGTTCTTACATGCTGTAATAAAGATAGTTCTTTGGTTCTAACATTTTTCAGACAAAAATAACTTTGATAAAAGCTAAA